GGAGGTTGGGCGCTGCCCCCCCTCCCTCCCCCCCGCGGGGGCGGCGATGCCTCGGAGAGCCCCCTTGCCGCAGCCCTGTTCGTCGCTCCTTGGCGGTGCGGCAGCGCTGCCTCGCCTCTTCTAAACGAGGAATTAAAAGCGAGTAATTAGGCGTGTTGGCAACTGCTGACTTTTAAATTACTAGTAAACTTGCGGTTTCGTTACCTGGTGCATCACGCTCTTCTTCACCCCTTAGCTCGGGGGATCCGCATTCTGTGTGTTTGAAACGGGTTGTTTATTTTTTCCCAGAAGGAAGGCCGTGCCTTGCTAGTTTCCTGGCTTTTCTTACTGTTGTCTTTGAATTTCACTGACGCTCATCTTCTCTTCTCCAAAATTAGCTGAAAGAAAGCTGCTCTCACTTACAAAGTTTAGCACCTGTATGCAGGAGGCAGGTATTTGAAGGTGCTTCTTCCTTGTTTCTAAGTTTCTTTCATCTGGATTTTGAGAAATCCTACATCTTTTGTCCTTCCCGTGTTAACACTCCTGTATGTTAAGTATTAGAGGGCATTCAGGGAGACTGGATTATGGATGACCTCCTGAACTCCTGCCCTGCAAGTTCTTGCTCAGTGAACAGGCACTGAAGCTTGAAGAAATGCATTTATGTCAGGCACCTTATCTGTGTGACCAACTGTGTGATCTAAAGGATAAAGATCAAAAGATTTTTTTATAGGATATAGCATCTAGAGTAAGGAGATACAGAATCTTCCTATGAAGCTTTTTTTTTTTTAATTCTAAGCTGAAATGCATGTATTATGTCTGTTTCTCTGCTGTTAGCTAGAACACTTGGTTGTCATCACTTTGTAGCATGTGACAAAGCCCAGTACTGATTTCCCCTACTACCTTCAAAAGGTGAAGTAACACCTGTGATGTTACAGCAAAGCCTGGGTCCTGTGGCTGGCAGCAGTAGCTCAGCTTCTCGTGGGCCAGGCTCTCATCAGTATTTCCCACGTGTGCTGTTCTTCTTGTTATAGGAGTTATCGGGATCAAAGATGCACAGTAATGAAAGTATTTCTGTGTGCAAGTTGAACACTAACCCATTGCATTTTCCTATTTCTCTTGTGTATTGCAAAATTGTATACAAATCATGAACTAGGCTTTACCAAGCCTTTGCCTTAAGAAGGCATGTAGTTAGGGATTTCCATTTTTGCCCTTGAAATGCAGGCTAGTAAAAGGTGGAACAAGTGTACTTTGCAACAAGCAAGTAACCTTATGGAAATTGATTGTTCACGAGGTGAAAAATTCAGATGAAACCAGGCAACAGATTACAAGTCTTGACTTCTGTGTTTTTGAAAACTGAGTTCATCCAATCGAAACAGGCACTGCAGTGCCCTCCTCAAAAGGAAACTTTCAGGCAGAATCCAGAAACCACTGATGTCTGGGTGCAGCTTTTTCATGTGGGATTCACTCTACGTAAGAAAAAATTACTAGGCCAAGCTTCCAATAAATGCTGAAAGGTCAGCGAAGTTACTGTAAGAATTAATTTCAGTTACAGTAGCTGTCATCCTGAAGGCCTGCCAGCCAGCATCATGTACCTGAAGTCTTAAAAGCAGTATAATTTTCATTGTGGTTTTTTTTTGCTTGTGTAATAATCTGTTGAAACTTGTGGAAATGCTTTGTTGGAGCAAAAGGGATTGGTCTGTATTTTACCAGAGGGTGGGTTTTGGCCACAGCTGTCACTTGTTGGTTTGTCCACCTGCTTTGCAAGTAGCTTTAAGAAACAAATATGCTTCAGTTTGGGTGCAAGCTATTTTATTTTCATGAGCTGTCTTGTGCAAATATATATTAGCTACTTCTGCCATTTCAGTGTCACAGTTAGATTCATCCTATATTTGTTCTATTCGAATTGTAAATCATTAATGTAAGAGAAAGTTTCTTGCTTGTAATGAAAAAAGTCCAGCTCAACGCTCCCATACTTGGTCAGGTCCTTGAAGCAGGTCTTTCAGTCCCAGCACGAAAGGGGACATTAAAGGTAGCTATGATAACCCTAGGTGTTCGTGAAGCTTGAGACTGCAGAGGGTGAGTCTGCACTCTAAGGACCACTTTATAGAACGACCACTTTATAGGTATGGAGTTTAGGGTGGGGGTTTTTTTGGAAATCATGCCGTCTATAAGCCATTTGGGAAAAGCTGGAGTCCTGCTGTTAATGTGCTACTGACCTGCCTCCATTTCTGAGGAGGAGGAAGTGGGTGTCTGTAATGCCTGTAACAATGTCTCACTGTCAAGGAAGTTTTATGATAGCAAACACAAACACTTGCAGTGAAAGATAAAAAAACTATTTCAGTGATGGATGTTGGATCTAGTGGTAACATTTTCCACTGGTACGGGATGTTTTTGTAGACGATGCTTTGCTTTCTAAACCATGAGCCTATGTCGCAGTAGTTGCGGTGGTCTTTTTCTCTGTCAGTGCGGGTAGTTAGCATAGTAGGCAGGAGTAAGAGTTGCAGCCTGGTGGTTAGTTTGAGATATGTGAGCAGAATTGGCTGGCTAGTTTTGCTCAAATTGTCTTGGGTCAGGAAAAATCAAGTCTGAAGTGATTTGCTTTGAAAAGCAATGGGTATTGTGCAAGTCTCTGGGAATTCAGGCACAGACCAACTACGAACACCCTGCGGTGAAACATAGCCCTCAAAACTGCTGGGCATGCAGAATTTTTGACTGCTGAGCCCCCCTGAAAACTAGCTTGTTCACCATTGCAGTCCCGTAGGTATGTGACTGCTGTAGATTCACTTTGGGTGTTTGACAGTTCAGCCCTTTCACTGCAAGTGCTCAGAGGCAGCAACACAGGAGGCATTGTCAGCTTGCAAATAGTGCTTTGGCTGCTTCATAGATCGGATGAAGTGGTAATAGTTATTAAAGAAACTTAATCCAGGTCACTACTGTTGTGTGATAAATGATCTCGTGTGATCTCTCTCCTTATCAGAAGCTTTAATATTTTGGTGGTGCATAAAGCTGGGTTCTAATTAAAATTATTGCATTCTCTCCAGGGACATGTTGTTTTCTGAGAGCATATAGACTTATTTTTTTAATACCCATTTCTCTGTTAGAAGAAGGTATTGCAATTCAACATCATAATTATGCCCACAGTGAGCTTGTACCTGTGGTCTGAGAACAGTGGGTTTTGGTTTTAATCACTTTTTCATACCTGGATACTACATATTTGTCACTCTTGACTTTCAAATTCCGGATGAAATCAGAGTATCTTCAGAATTCTTGTCCTGAATAGGTAACTTATGTATACATGGCTGGCTGTCCTACTGCAGTAATTCTTGTCAGCTTAGTCAAAAGCCAATTAAAGTTAAGTAGAAAATAGTTTTGAACAGGAAACCTTAATCTCTCTTTTTTTTTTTTTTTTTTAATACATTGGAACTCCCAGTGGTTGAAAGGGCCTTAGCTTCATTGTACAGTTTTCATTTGGGATGAGGTATTTTCATGACTTGTTCTGTGACTGAAATACCTTTAAAGACATTCAGGAAGGTCTGCTCGCCTTGAATGATAGCAGTTTAAAAAAATAAAGTAACGTGAAAGATCAAATGTTAAAGAAACCATCTCAAATTCCCAGTCAACAAAGACTGAATCAGTTGAAATGTCCTGGCTTCAGATTTCATGTGCTGACTTTACTTTGGTGACTTAGCAAATCTGTTTTCTCCTTGCAAGGCCTGTTCTGGACTAGCAGTTTTGGTCTCTTTAAATCAAAGGCCCCCCCAAAAGTTCTTGAAAGAAGTCTTCACTCATTTATTTCAGAAGAGTACCTTGCATCTGCCAAGTACATGGGAGTGGGTTTAGACAGGACTTCTGTGACAGTCACTTACTTGATTTTGCACTCAGCCTGGTACTGATCAGCAGTGATGCTCCTATGAGTGAAAAAATTCTTCAATGAATTGCAGACCTGAAACATTGCTGTAACTGAAAGCAAGCTATATTGAGGTGTCAGGGCTGGGATTGAGTAGTTAGGAACAGGAGGATAATTTTGAAGTGCTGCCTCTAAACCACCTTGGTAGTAGTGAAATGGTGGCATTTGAGTTTATAGCCAGCCTGTCTGTTTATTAGACTTTCAGACAAGCCGAGCACAGCAGTTGCCTTGCAGGTGTAGTGACTAGGGGTACAAGGAAAGCATTAGGGACAGATTACGTCTGCTTTTTCGGTACAAGATACCTAGTTTTTCCAATCACAAGTTGCTGTGCTTGAAGGACAGCTGTCTTGCTATATGATGGAGGGCTTCTGTTTGAATTCGTGTATCATCTGTGTGCCCTTCCTGGCCCAACAAAACAAGTCTGGTGCCTCACTTCCCACATTTTAGCAAGATACTCAATGAACCTTGGTAGCGATTGTCACGTAGGTCTGGATTAATTCTCATTGTATCCAGATTTTTAGTTTGCCCTGAAGAGTGAAATGCGTGTTGGCACTTTACTAAAATTGATACTGTTTGTTGGTGCAGTGTGGACAGAAATGAAATGGGACTGGTCAAACATTAGAGTCCAAGCTTTTGCAAACTGCAGTAGCTGCATGTGAAGCAGGAGCTAACCTGTGTTGACTTTTTTAAACCACAGGATATACTTAATCTGGGTGTGTTATTGGTAGTGTTATTTTAATGTTAAACTTGACACAGTCTAATCAATGTTGCATTTCTACTTTTCCAGAATCTGTTACAAAAGAAGCTGACGATGATGATGGTGATGATGATGAAGAAGATGATGACGATGATGATGATGATTCTGAAGTTAAAGAAGAAAACGGTGTATTAGTCTTGAATGATGCAAACTTTGACACCTTTACTGCAGACAAGGACACTGTGCTTCTGGAGTTCTATGCACCATGGTGGGTTCACAGTCTGCAGTACCTCCTTAGGTGCAGTCATGGTGGCTGTCGGGGGCTTCTCTGACAGGACACCTGCACCCTCATAAAGAAGTGGGCCTGGGTTACAGTTTTAAAGATGATGTAAGAGTAATTTGTCTGCAGGAGAAGCACTGGACCCTGATGTAGTTCAGGGTAGGGGACTGTTCTGGTGGTTGGGAGGCACCCTTTTCCCTGCCCCTGTACCATGCGACAGACAACAGCCTGTTCTTTTTCCACAGATGTGGGTTATGTTGAGGGATCTCATACCAAGGGAAGCACAGCCCTGGATCCATCCCTGCTCTGCGCCTGTCAGGGAGCAGAGGCGGTCCCAGTGATCCCTAGAAAAGTCATGCAGTGTGGTCTTGCAGCTTGCTATCGCGTCCTTGTTCTGGCACACTGAGAGCTTGTGCACTTCCTCATCTAGATGGAGGAAGCTTCCCTAGCAGGGGAATTGCTAGAAGGTTTTCCTTCTCGAGTTCAAAAATCTCTGTCCTTGCCACAAGGGTGTGGTGTGAGTAAGGACATGGTTTGTTTGTATTGCCAACTTAAACAGTGCCTCATACATCTGCCTGATGATGATAATTCTGCTGGCATACCAGAGTACACAGAGTTAACACCAGTGTGCTCAGGGGAGCTACAATGGATTTATCTGCATACAGCTGAGACAAAGAATTTAGGCCAGAAGGTATCTTCTCTTGCATTCCTATGGACAAAAATAATAGGGATGGTTAGTGGGGAAAAACAAGAGTAGAATGTATTTGAAGTCAAGTTGCTGAGTTAGTGTTGCAGCCAGAACCTTCCTTCCTTTGTGGCTTAGTGATACAAAGATGACTTACTTATTTGTCCTTTTCTAGCCTTTGAATAGAGGGGAGAATATGATCTTGCTTGAGGTGGAGTGGCATTTTAACTAATGGCATTCTTACTACAGAGAATCCCATCCCTGCTTGGCTGTAGGTACTATTTCTGCAGTTATAGTTTGCCTGCATGAAAACTGAACACAAAGCTTAATTTATCTGAGCAGAAAGATGTGTGATTATCACAGACTAAACACCTCTCTTCTACTCCCCCTCCTGCCAGTTGAGAGGCTAAGGAGTATAGGCTGTCTGCTACACATGACTTTCCCTTTTTTTTTTTTTCTTCATTCTGGTTTCAATTACAGCTTGTCAAGCTATGTTTGGCTTTTCTTATGCTGATAGCCTGTCACGACAGCTTTTCCATCAGGAGCCTCTGTTCTTCCCAAAGAGTTCTGGTGTGGCCAGAGAAAGAACAGGTGCTGCAATACCATCGTGGGCTTGAGACTTCATTAGGCCAACTTAACTACTGGTTCATTTTTCCCTTTACTTCAATTTAGATTGCTGGGTAGAAAGGATGAACCTAGATTAGGGAGAAACTGGTCTGAATGAGACCATATTTGGGGGGCCAGGGAGGAAGGAGAAGCATGGTACAAGGTTTGCAATTTTGTTTTAAAAAAATTTTTTTACAATGGCTTTATAAAACATATATGGAAACGTGTTGCTTTTTGAATGGAGGAAAAAAGAAAAGAGGTTGGGATTTGAACAAACAGCACATTAGCTACAGTTACTCTCTGCCTCTCCATGATCCAAAAAACATAGCAAGACAAATATTCTTATGTTAATGTTGTGAACATCTGTCAGAAGGCATCCTGGAAATGCAGAATAGCAAAATACCCTTGTCTGTCATGCATTTATATACCTACTTGTGTCTTCCTCTGACAGGTGCGGGCATTGCAAGCAGTTTGCTCCTGAATATGAAAAGATAGCCAAAACTCTGAAGGAAAATGACCCTCCTATTCCAGTTGCTAAAGTAGATGCTACTGCAGCCACTTCACTAGCAAGTCGTTTTGATGTCAGTGGCTACCCAACCATCAAAATCCTGAAAAAAGGCCAACCTGTTGACTATGACGGTTCTCGGACAGAAGATGGTAAGCACCAGTCCTTTGCAGTTCTCTGTGAGAAAGCTAAGTAGTATATGGTATTGCTGTGACTATTTTGAAGGACTTTGATCTCAAGTTACTTTATCTTAAGCAGAAAAATACTACAAACACTGAAATTTTGCCTGTCTTCTCAATTGGCTGAATGCTAGAGGACACTTTTGCAGGTAGTGGGTAGTGCTGTTAGTAATGGAAGGTTTCTAGAAATGCGACTTGACTAGAAGAGGAGGTAGTCTCATGTTTGCAGGATCGGCTCATAAGAAACATCTGATCTGTATATTGACCATATATAAAACCATTTGTTTCTTGCTTAATGTGTCCAACTTCAGTCAGAGGGGGAAAAAGTATCTTCTCTGTCTGTTTTGAGGTGGAATTCACATGCTATGGTGCTGCAAAGTACAGATCTGTGCTCTGCATAAGTAAGATCTCTATGGGGTTAAGAGAAGACCTTCTTGGCAATACCAACAATGAAGTAAAACATAATGAATCTTGATTAAGAAAGTGTTCTTGTGTAAGCTTGACATGTAAGCTTTGGTCCAAGGCCATGCTTGCCACTCTGATTTTACATTCGATATGCTACTGATATGATAATGCAAACTTGTTAATTGGGCTGTTGAACTGTATTTCAGCAATTGTGGCCAAAGTCAAGGAAGTTTCTGACCCCAATTGGACCCCTCCACCAGAAGCTACCCTGGTATTGACCCAGGATAATTTTGATGACGTCGTGAATGATGCTGACATAATCCTTGTGGAGTTCTATGCTCCGTGGTAAGCAAGAAGGCAGTCACCTGTACTTTGCTAGCACAGCTGGCCTGAACACTCTTGGTTGTCATGCCTCTTTAAAGAGGCTTGCCTTGTGCAGCTGTGTGTAGCTCTGGTGTACCTTAGTTTGCACTGCAAATCACTTGAAGACTAGACTGGATCTGTATCTCGGCAAGGGGTGGTCTTCAAAACTTCACCGAAGATTCTCCTTATTTACTAGTTTGGGACCATGTTGAGAGATGCTGAGTTGGTCCTTACTAAAAATTAAGCTATCTATAGTAATGTGGGACCAGACATAGAGGCTAGAGAGACAAGTCTTCTACACTGCAGTGTCCTCTACAGATTGAATAACCCCATTTCTACTTTCTCCATTCTGGAAGACTTAACTCTTCCACTGCAGAGGTAGAAGGTACCTAGCAGGATTCATGGCTTGTAAAAACTGCCCTCCCCTCCCCTTCCCTAGGTGTGGACACTGCAAAAGGCTTGCTCCAGAATACGAGAAGGCTGCCCAGGAGCTCAGCAAGCGCACACCTCCTATTCACTTGGCTAAAGTCGATGCCACTGCTGAAACTGAGCTTGCAAAGAAGTTTGATGTTTCGGGCTACCCAACTCTGAAAATCTTCCGCAAGGGAAAACCTTATGACTACAATGGTCCACGGGAAAAATACGGTACTGCAACTTCTGCTTTTTCTTTATTTTCTGAGGGCTTGACCACAAGTGTTTTGATATATTGATAAGACTTGCAGACTTGCTGACATCATAGCAGTTGTAGTTGGGGAAACCTGAAAGACTGTGCTCTTATACAGAGAGCGGGCCAGCAGTGTAAATTTGTCTCTAATCTTTATAACATCTAGTGGTGATACTATAAGCTTCTTCTAATATAAAGGAAGTTAAATACACATGGTGAAGCAGTGGCAGTGTGAACAAATGGGCAGCCTGGAAGGGCTGGCAAAGCGCTCAATATTAGGTTTTAATAAGAGGGAAGACTTAAGACTATCCAGGTAGAACTTTGGCTCATAGCAGGATTAGGAGACAGTGAAGGGTCTGGAATTCTGGAAGGGAAGGTTACTTGAAAGTTCAGCTGATATTCATGGAACTTGCGCTTAGTCACCTTTTCTGAAACCAACCTGAAAGAGCATATCCACAACTGCAGCTTTAAAAACTTGGACTGAGGTCTTGCTGATTTGGTCTTTTAGCTATTGTGGGAGGGCTGCGCAGAAAGAAAGGTGTCCAAGGGAAATGTGGTATTAAACAACGCCATAGAGGAAGTGCCTGAATCTTTCAGTTGTTCAATGTTCTAAGCAACTTTTTGGGGGTGGGTTTGTCTTGCAGGTATTGTCGACTACATGATTGAACAGGCTGGTCCTCCATCCAAACAGATTCAGGCTACCAAGCAGGTACAGGAATTTCTGAGGGATGGGGATGATGTCATCATCATTGGTGTCTTTAGTGGAGAGAATGACAAAGCCTATCAGCTCTATCAGGAAGCAGGTAAAGAATGCTTTAAAATATTAATGAAATGTATGTTTTGTCGAGATTTTGCCCAGCACTTTGGGCATGAAAAGATCATTTATTTCTGCTTTTAGTCCAGTGGGGGAGGTTGGAGAGGAATGAGAGGGAGGAGATTGAAGTGTGGTCTTCCACTTGTATTCAAGAAAAAAGCTTGCACTAGATTTGAGGCTATAGCTAAAGTATCAGCCAGCCACAAGAGATACCTCCTCTTGGCACTGTGTCCCTAAAACCACGCAAAATAGAGGAGGGAAAATTCCTAGCTGAGGAACAAATTGCAACTTTCTTGGCTTAAAGCCTTGCTAGCTTTGCCATCTGCTGTTGCTTGATTCATATTTGACTGTTCCAGAGGCTGGGCTTTGCTGAACTTCTTTGGGGTGGGGGGTGTGGAGAAAGAATAATCATCCATCTCTGGATTGGTTCAGCTAGACCATTCCTGGCAATGTTTATTCTTAAAAAACCCTTTGGTGTGACACATTGATGGTCCTGTTAACGATATTTGCCACCACACAGAAGAGGCTAAGCACTTCAAGTGCTCACCCCCTTTGGTCAGTCCCTGTGTCTCACATGATTGAACCATTCACAGCCACTCTTAAGTTTCTCCCAGAGCCTTGAGAGCAGTGTGGGCAATTCTTCTGCCCCTAGCTATACCTGCTTCTGGGGCTGCCATCATTTGTAGTTGGATTAGGAGCTGATTTGGTTCCTCCAGCATGGCAAGGTACAGAACTGTTTTCCAGGCTGCCCCAAAGCAAGTAGATTGGCTAGGTGACCTTGTGAGTTCCTTTCCTGCTTTTCTTTCTGTTATATGGGGAGAAGCCAAGAGGTAGGAGACTGACAAGCAAATAGCTGTTTCACTGTAGATGTTTTGGAAGCAGTTGAAGGTTTTTGAATATGTGGAATAACTCATCAAGTAGATGGGTTGTTGAACAGCATTCAAATAGTGCTACTCAAATTGTCTGTATTTCCACATGCTTCTCACCCCTGTATGAGAGCTGTTCCCCAAGACTCTGGATTGTTCCGTGTCCCTTTGAGATGGGAAGAGAGTTTCCTTGCAGTGCAGTCTCAAGATTTTGGTCAGAGGCTGTCAGTTTACTTTTTGATGACTCTTCCTTCTCCCTAACCTTAATCTTTCAGCTAACGGTTTAAGAGAAGATTACAAGTTCCATCACACCTTCAGCAATGAGATTGCAAAACTATTGAAAGCATCTCCAGGAAAACTGGTTGTCATGCAGCCAGAAAAATTTCAGTCAAAGCACGAGCCCAAGATGCATGTTTTGGATCTTAAAGTGAGTAGCTGATCCAAACCTAGAAAGTTTGTGTGTGAGTTGAAGGTTCTCTTTCTTTATATGTATGAGCAGTTAGCATCTTCCTGTTGGAAGTACTCCATTAGATACTTGAGGCCATCTGTTTGTTCCCTGAAACTGTATTGCTTTGTTTGAGAAAGCTTTATGAAATTAACTCAGAGGTTATGTATTCAAATAATAATGTACCATTACAATATTCAGTGTAAGGGTAGAATACTAAATTATCTTTAGTGCTCAAGGATTTGAATAATATGGTGGCAGCATCGTTTATAACATGTCCATCTTTCTCATTCATGCATGCGTCAATATTAGTTTTCAGTAGTGCATAACAAATACCACTTAAATCAATTTATCTGAACTTTTTTCCCTTTTTTTTAAGCAGGACTCTACAGATGGATCAGAGATTAAAGAGCACGTGCTAAAACATGCTTTGCCTCTAGTTGGTCATCGCAAGCCTTCCAATGATGCTAAAAGATATGCTAAGCGTCCTCTAGTGGTTGTCTATTATTCTGTAGACTTCAGTTTTGACTACCGTGTTGGTAAGTTCTGTAACATTACCATTCCTCCACTTTTGGAGGAAGCAAGCAGCAAGTAACTAGAAATTACTAATCCTGTTGTGTTCTGGTTTTTTTAGCTACCCAGTACTGGAGAGGGAAAGTCCTGGAAGTGGCCAAAGACTTCCCTGAATACGTGTTTGCTGTGAGTGATGAGGAAGATTATTCGTCTGAAATTAAAGATTTGGGCCTGCTTGAGAGTGGAGAGGATGTCAATGTTGCCATTTTGGATGAAGGTGGCAAGAAATATGCCATGGAGCCAGAAGAGTTTGACTCCAGTGTACTCAGGCAATTTGTGCTGGCATTCAAAAAAGGTAAGTTTCTAAAAATAGGGTTCTCTAAGCCATTTACTTTGTTTCCTCTTCCAAGAGTTTTTCCTGAGGCAGTGGCTACAATAAAGTCATATGTGCAACCTTACAGTGCTCTGTGGCTTAAAGCTTTTGTATGTTTCTTGCCTTTTTTAACCTCAGTTTATTAACTTTGTTGCTTGGACTGCGCTGCGGCATCTACCTATATTCTGAAACTGAGCATGTTTGTCAAGCCTAAAATGTTCTTGCAGCTTCAAAGTGTGAGCTGATCTTTCGTATTTGGGACTAGTATAATAAATCACTGTCTAATACATTGTGGATGGACAGCCATAAAAAGAGGGAGAAAGGTTCTAGGCAACTGTGAAACAAACTGTTGCCTGTATATCACAAGGTTATTGTGCTAAAAGGTCACGCCAGCCTATGTTTTGTGCAGAGGTATGTTCGTTTACTGGTACAATTCTTTTCTCTGGAGGGAGGATGTACTTGGCCCTTTTTGTGGGAGATTGTAAGGACTTCTCTTACTGTATTCTTAACAATGATATGTGTTTTGCTTCCTTCTAGGAAAACTGAAGCCTATTGTGAAGTCCCAGCCAGTGCCAAAAAATAACAAAGGGCCTGTGAAAGTGGTAGTGGGTAAAACATTTGATACCATAGTAATGGATCCAAAGAATGATGTTCTCATAGAGTTCTATGCCCCATGGTGTGGACACTGCAAGAAACTAGAACCAGTGTATATGGAGCTAGGCAAAAAATACAAGAATGAGAAAAATCTAGTTATAGCCAAGATGGATGCTACTGCCAACGACATCACAAGTGAACGCTACAAAGTGGAGGGATTCCCCACTATCTACTTTGCTCCAAGGGACAAGAAGAACAACCCTATTAAATTTGAAGGCGGGGACAGAGATTTAGAGCATTTGAGCAAATTTATAGAAGAGCATGCGACAAAACTCTCCAGAACAAAAGAAGAGCTTTAGATAAGATGAGGGTGTTGTATGTGGTAGTTAAAAGCAAGTTACTGACAAAACTTCGTGAGAGAAGAATTAAGCAGTTTGAGCAAGGAAATTCTTGAGCAGTAAAGCAATTGCAGTATCTTTTTTTTATATGGCAGAAGTTTTTCTGGACACTGAACCTCTTTTCTGATATGAATGTCTTACGTTAGTCATGATTTTGATCTTTGGAGAAAATACATCCTTTATTTTTTGTGACTATCTTAAGCTTGATTCTTTGACTCCAGTGCAACTGTTGTGGGGTTTGGTTGTTTTGTTGTGGGGTCTTTTTTAAGTTAAAGATATTACCAAAAAGAGTGAGAACCAAATGCCTCTGCCAAACAGGTTTCTTTCCCTTATTTGTTGGTATGGTTAGTGGAAGGAAGGGTGTTTTGAGCCAATCTCTCTTCTGTTATATTTCTGTATACCCATTCATGTGGCTATCACTGTATGCATTGCTGAGGGTAATAATGGAGGCTTTCTAAAGTGTGGATGAGTGATTCAGTCCTACTGAGATAAGACAGTGACTAGCTAACTAAACGTGGTCTAGACGTGTGTGCTTTTGCTCTGTGCCCCTCTGTGGAGAGGGTGATGCTAAAATAGCAGTTTTTCTAATTTACCTCTCTTTACTAGTCCATATTGACCCATTTATATCTTAAGTCTTCCCAAGCGTATTTTGGAGTAATCAGAGTGTGGTAGAAAGAACATGTAGTGGGTGGTAATGCTTGGATTCTGGTGTCAGACCTGTGTTACTGTTTCCGTTCCTTTTGTAGAGAGGAAGTGTTTGGTAGTGATTCTTCTTAGGGAAGCAGACCGAGACCTTCTGATAGACTTTGTCCTGTGGCAGTTACTGCAGGTACAAAGGATGATCACATCTACTCCATGCTCCAGTTGACAGTATGGGCGTTTAAAAGGGGATTCTGATTTTGAATGTCCCAGTTCAAATATGTCCATAAATTTATGGGACATGTTGGGGTGGCAGACTTGCGTACTCTGGAAGCAGTGTCTGCTTCTCAGAGCTGTGATGCTGTGGTGTGTGTGACCTGAGTGTCACCGAGGCGGTTTTGAGATGTAGTGCTTCTCTCCTAGCAGTGTTGTTTTCTGTCTTGCAAAAGACAAATATCAGTCTTCCTTCAGCATTTTCTTGTTGCATTAGCTTTCAACTCTGGAGGTTGTGTGAATCTAAAACCACTGCCCAATCTTTTTTTTTTTTTTTTTTTTATTCTCTGGGGAGAAGCAGCCTTCTATGTAGCAAGGGTAAACTCATGTCCAGGAGGTGGCGGTTAAGATACAGTCTAAGGACCCAAAAGGGCCTGCAAGGGGGTACATAATCCTTCTGCACTTTGCCTCACTGGTGAAGGGGTGTACCTCTGCCCTGTCTTAACAGAGGACTGTTCCCCACTGACCATTAGCCACATCTTGCTGTCTAGGCTGTTAACAAACTGTTATTGCAGAGGTGTATGCGACTGTGAAGGCTTTCTCTTACTTAGCAACTTATCTGAAGCTAGTGAGCAAAGCTCGCCAGCATATTATGAAAGAAGGGTATGGTACCACATCTCCACGGAGTGCTGGGGTGTGCTTGAATGCCATTCAGCTCCTGTTTATCAGCAAAAGCTGGGAAGTGCTAAGCAGCTATGCAGGATCAGTTCTCAATTGCTGCTTTGTGTTAGAGCAGTGTAATAATTCACTTCGGGCCCTGGCATTGTCAGTCTCCTTCATAGTAGAAGGCTTTTTCTCTACAGTCCTCTAAGTGTACAGATGTGTGTTTATGCTTAGAGAATATTTCACCTACAAGACACTTACCAAGTGCATTATCTTTCCATCACTTGCCACTTCTGTTTGCAGCTTTTCTGTGGAGCCTTCAAAGGCCATGATCTGTGATTAAATGTCTGTGCATAGGCAACAGGACTGAAGTCAGACTTAGCTGAGCACCAACTTACATTAGAGGTGACTTTTTCCAGCTTTAGAAAGTATACATAAGCCAAGTAGCAAGTTCTGTTCTGTGTGCCAGCTGAGATCAATTCAGTTGTTCAAAGAAGTAGGCACAGACTTTTAAAATCCATTCTTAAACATAGTTCAGTTTCTATCTCTAAGCAGATAACTCATGTAATACTGCAGGGAACTAAATTGCTCCTACTTATTAGTTAGCTGCAGGCTTGTAGGGATTTATTCCAAAACCAGTGTGGTCTAACCAACAGGAGCACATGGATAAATACGGAACACGTAGAAGGGAAGGTGAAAAGTCCCTTATTGGTGGTGGGTACAGTCAGAGCTTGAAGCTCCGTTCTTCTTGGGACAGTGTCAAAGTTAATTATGAGTTTCTTGCCTCTCTTCTTGCAGGTGTGAACATTGTCTTTGCCAATGCTGTGCTGTTTCTGTAGACGTCTTCCTCCTAGAAGGAGTGAACACCACCCTCCCCAGCCTGCTGGGAGCCCTCATGGCAGTAAAAGGCACAAGGCCCAGGGGAGTGTCTGAGGTGTGCTTGTGTGGTGCTCTTACCAGCTTGCTTTTCCCTGCCTTTGCAGGTGGAGGCAGCCTGGTACAGTTACTTTGGGGCTGTGCTCAAAGACCTGAACTTTGTTCTGGTGCAGCAGTGCTCTAGTCAGAGCTACACAAGGAAGAGGAGTACACTAGTTGTAGTATTGCTAACTTAATTTCTTGACAACTGTGAGCTGCAAGAGCAGGCAGTGTTACCCCAAGTAGATTATGGGTTTCGGTTATGAGCAGGAGAGGAAATGAGGACTTTATCCATCCTTACATTGATATTTTCTGGTGGTGTTTCCTGTGAGTCCTTGACTGTGCCGCACACCTTGGCATCTGCATGCTGTAATTGATATATTTATCTTGATTGCTTCCCAGGAAGATGAGAGGGTATTGTTGTCTTTCAGCTTTGAGTGAAGTCATACCGGAAAGCAAACTGCTTTCCTTAGGTCCAGTGTCCTGTACCCTGCTGTGTGCACTACCAACATCACATCAGCTTTGCGAAACTCATTGGGATGGCTACATCATTAGGCCTCAGTTAAAGCTGTCTACCTGACAAGTTATTTTAATGTGATTGATGCCTCTTAAGGGGAACAGGTCTTACCATCTTTTGGAATTTCTATTAAATGCATTATGCATGTCTGCTTTTCCCTTCCTGGTGCATTAGGATGCATTCCTAAGCATCCTGAACTCCATTAATGTATTACCTAAGTGCCACTGACTGGCTTTGGTGTTCCCTTCTTACAGAAGGAGAAAAATAAATTGCATGCAGTGTAAAAGAACAGGGGTGCCCCCTCACTTGTTCTTGCCCTATGCTTATGCAGCTGTGGGTATTGCTTCTGATTATCCTTCCAAGTAGAAGATATCCTGCAGTTTATGCTACAGCACAGGACCGACAGTTCCCAGGTAGGCTCTGAGGAGCCTGGCCTGGTGTGAGTATCTCCCATACACACGTGCTCTAGAAAATAAAAAAAAATCTTCTGTGAATTGCAGTACATCTTTATGTAGTCAGACTTGAGACTTCTTCAGGGAAAGGAAGCATCCCTGAAGGGTCATGGACGAAGGTAAGCAGCAACTCTAGCACAGTCAGTGATCCCTGAGGAGTGAGTTCATCTGTTCTCTGTCCATGGGACACTTAAGGTGACAGTAAATACCTGCTTGGGATCTTGATACTGTGTTAAGTGCTAGCTTGTTCAGTACTGGAAGAGATTGATAATAGTAAAGGGACATGCCTCTTCCCAATCAAGTTTACTCATCAAGTTTATTCTTGGTTTCTACTTGAAATGATTTTATACTTCAAAACTGTTATGGTGATACCCACTATATAGGCCTAAGACTTGGTTGGTAGCTAGCAGGCATGGCACTGCAGAGCAGAGACTACTCCACAAAGTTTATCTTCCCTGTTGTACAGAAGGTTATGTGAGGAAACAGGCTTCTGAAAAGTAGAACGTGAATAAGAATACATGATACGGGTTAAAGGCTTTTCAGAAAGTAGCACTAACTGTAGTGGTCAGAATTCTGTCCTTTCTTTTGCGGTAGGCAAGAGAAGCTACTTCAAGCTGTACATGCTCCAAAAGGCTTTTTGGCGACAGCCTGCACTGGAATGGACAAGGATCAGAGGATTGAGTACTGCAGTCTGTACGCTCAGCCCTTGATGTGGGGTAATGAGTACATCAAGCTTTGTGCAAACAAGAATGTAACCCACTTAGTCAAACTGGTACAAAGCCTTGTATTTAAGCTATGTGGCTTTGGTTTGCTGCACTTAGGTTGCAAAACTCCCTTTTCAGTGCAGACCAGGTGTGATGGGATGATCTGTGAGCAACCCTACAAAGGCACTGAAATGCTGTAGTATCTTAACTTGAAGTTGCCAGGCATTTCTGGGACTTTAGCTAGTAGTGCTGTACAGCTTGAAGTATGGTGATGTCGCAGGAATCGCTGCACATCACTGCAATGCATTTGTCAAGGAAGGGCTCACCTTTTCCTGCCTGGACCCATGGTAGGTTACATGCAGCCATGCAGACGTGGGCAGGGGAAACATTTTCTTGGTGTGTGCAACCTGTCTTGATGTCTGTGCCCAGAATCCTACAAAGCTCACAAGTCAGCTTTTTTTCCTGTCAACTTCTTTGGCAGTTGCTCTGCGCTAAAGCCGGCTCCTTTAGACACAGCTGTGCATGCTCTGAGGGCGCAGACTGATGTCATGTTAATGTTAGTGCTGGAATTCCTGTGCCATGAACAGCTGGTTCTCTATGGAGCCACTGTGCTGTTATCTCACCCTTTGCAGCATTGCTTTCTACACCATTCCTGAATGTCTGGGCAAGCTCTGTACACACCGTGAAATCTAAATTAACATGTCTTTACAGAGGCTGGGTGAGACTACTTGGATCTGGAAGGACATGGCTGTTCTCCTGTTTCATTTCTGCATATAGAGAGGAAGAGATCTGCTCTGTGAATTGCCATGAATCCTTACATTAGAAAGGTGGAAATTTCAGCTTCAGAAATGCTGTTTGTTCAAATCCCAAGCTGTGTGTGGCTTGATTAACAAAATGGTAAAGGAGATAAAGCTATGTTTAATCCAATCATGCAAAGAAAACCCTTATCACAATCAGTAACCCAATCCTCTGATGGATTTCTGTACGCTGGGGTTTTGAACAGCCAAGTGTTTCTTCATAATGAAAGCTGATGCTTGTCAACCTGCTCTTGATTAATGTCCTCTTACTTGCTTTGTCTAAATTATAGTAGCCTTCTTGAAATTCACGATGTTTTGCCCTACAATAGGGGAGAATTATTCTGCAATAGAGCCTGGTAAATTGCTGCTCAGAATGATAGAAGCAGAGTAAAAGAAAATACAGCAGAAGCTGGGCTCAGAAAAAAGCAAATGATAACTCAAATTTCCATAAAGTCGGAGAAGTCAAGGCTAGACAGGACCATTTACTCACCTATTCTGATTGCTTTACATATCAGGCCACAAGTTTTCAGCTATTTACTTTCCATATTTAGCCTAATAACTTTAATATTTAGCATTTAGCCTATGCACCTGTTCCAAAAAGCAAGTATGCGACACAACCAAAGCTCCACAACTCTGTTAGGTGCTAATGCTACACTAATACTGATTTCTGAACCACAGAATGCATTCAGGAAATGGAACACATGTCTTGAAGATGGTACTGCTTTGAGTAAGGAAGGGGGTTTTGCATTCACTAGCCATGTGAAATACTTCATATGTTACTTTTGATAATGCCCTTGGACAGTAGAATTTAGTCATATATTTTAATGTGGGGCATGGCTGGGGGTTTTTTGTGCTTTAAGTTGGTTTTGGTCTCTTACAGTCTCAAGATAACAACTAAAGGATAGCCAGTAAAACTCCACTAGCTTAATTAAGCTGTAGCAATTCCCAACCAGCAGATGTTCACAGAGGGCATAGTGACAGGTGAGTTGAGCTTTGTTCAAGATCTCTTCAACAAGCCTGAAGGAGCAGTAACAGACCACATAACTACAGCAGATGCAGGTTGAGAGAGGTGTTTATTGGTGTACTAACAAGTCTATTTAAATATAAGTGGCCTTACTAATCTTCCTGCCTATTTATATTTCTGAGAGATCGCTCTTAAAGTTCAGTTTGGTCAAAACAGCCACTCTTTAAATACAAAAGTAACATTTTAAATAAAAAAAAGTCACAGTGGGCTTTGTTTTTCATTCTTTCACTTCCAAGATGCACCATAACTATTAACGAGATCCTTGAAGCATGCTGTTTTCTGTGGCAGCACAGTAGTGGGGGGTAAGGGTTGGCAATTCCTCGTACTGCAAGCTGTCCAAAAGGAACAGGTAAGGATCAAAAAGTCTTTATTTGGTTACAGTGATGTGACAGCAGCTTCAGTGGTACGAGCAATTCAGGGTTTTTTGTTCATTTTCCTAATGATGCAGCCTGTTTTGCTGAGAACTGTGACAATGGTCAACTTTCATCAGCTGTGACAGGACAAGGGGTAATGGTTTTAAACTGAAGCAGGGTAGGTTTAGACTGGATATAAGGAAGAAATTCTTTACAGTGAGGGTGGTGAAACACTGGAATGGGTTGCCCAGAGAGGTAGTGGAGGCCCCACCCCTGGAAACATTCAAGGCCAGGTTGGATGGGGCTCTGAGCAATCTGATCTAGTTAGCGGTGTCCCTGCTCACTGCAGGGGGGTTGGACTGGACGACCTCTAGGGGTCTCTTCCAACCCAAAACAGTCTATGATTCTATGCTATGATACAGTACTTCAACACTTGGCCTGAGAGGTTCCTGTTGAACTAGGGGTATATAAGGAACAAATAATCCTCTTGGCTGTGAAACTCTGCACTTGAAAGACCAAACCTAACTCGTTGATGGAAAACACACTGTGGGGAAAGGAAAAAGGAAATTAGGATAATGTGTGAAGATCACTATGCATATGTACCCATGAATAACAGGCAGCACCAGGCACTACAGCTAATCACCTGTATGTGCCACTAGCAAACACGGGTCAATAACTATGAGTGCGAGAAAATCTGGGAAAACATTTAATTGGATAAATGCATCACCTCAGACATAGAATAAGTAGAATACTGTTCTAGTGGGAATTGTAGACCTTGTGTTACTGTCTGGTTTAAAAAAAAAAAACAAAACCAAACTGGTTTGGTTTGAAACCTTTCTCATTTTCAGCCTATCACTACTACCTTGTGTTACTGTCTGGTTTAAAAAAAAAAAAAACCAAACTGGTTTGGTTTGAAACCTCTCTCATTTTCAGCCTATCACTACCTGAAATCAGTAAACAATTTAAACCACACATTTTTAATGGTGATTTTTTTAAAAAGATTGAATGAGCACTGCTTGACTCAAGAGAGGTGCTCCTTTAATAGGCAAAGAAACTAACCACTAAATTTAGTTGCTTCATAAACTTTGCCTTCAGAGAGTCCATCAAATGCATTCAGAAATATACTGCCACCAGAAAGAATTGGTTATTATGTGGTTCTCTGTCTATGACAGTTCCTTTCTCCTAGTTGAAGTTTTGTTTCTTTTATTAAATGGAATCCAGTGCTAACCTTTCAGAGTAAGAAAGATACATCCAGCATTATGGTAGCAAGAGTTTTCCTCATTCCAAGTCATGATTTATTAAATCCAGTAAAAGACTCGGTACCTAAAAACAGGGTCACTGGTCCCTGCAGTGGAATGCGAAATCTGAAGTTTGGGATGTACCTAGTGGGGAAAAATCTTCCTGGATGGGGAGAATTAAGAACCGCAGACAAAAGCCAAAGCAAACAAGGTGGTGAGTAGGGAGCAATCAAGCTCCACCCAAGAGGAAATGCTGAGGGAAGGGCCTGAAAGCCAAGTCTTGGGCTTAAGCAGATTTCTTGAGGTCACAGGAATGTGCTTGCAGTCTGTTGTGATCCTCTGCATAAAACGCCCTCTGGAAAGCAGGTGACTGACATGCTCAGTCCAAGAACTTCTCTTTAAGCAGGAGGTGTGGCCCTCCATGTTTTTCTAACAGTGGTTATAGCACCTGCCCAAGGTCAAGGAGACTTCTTCCCCTTTTATTCGTAAAAATGCTCAGATATGCATCTCTTGAGACAATGCTCTAGTTCCATATCAATCTGTATTGGGTTTGCATGACAAAGTTTTGGTGGCTACAGAGGTGGCTTCTGTGAGAAGCGGCTAGAAGCTTCCCCCATGTCTGATAGAGTCAATTCCAGCTGGCTCCAAGATGGATCTGTCACTGGCCAAGGCTGAGTCCATCAGCCACAGCAGTAGCTCCTCTGGGAGAATGTATTTAGGAAGGGGTTAAAAAAAAAACCCCTCTGCAACTGCAGCCAGAGAGGGGAGTGAGAGGATGTGAAAGAAAACAGCCCTGCAGATACCAAGGTCAGTGCAGCAGGAGGGGGAGGAGGTGCTCCAGGTGCCAGAGTAGAGATTCCTGTGCAGCCCATGGTGAGGCAGGCTGTCCCCCTGCAGCACATAGAGGCCCACGGTGGAGCAGATATCCCCCTGCAGCCCTCGGCGGACCTGACGCCAGAGCAGGTGGATGCCCAAAGGAGGCTGTGACCCCATGGGATGCCCACACTGGAGCAGGTTTGCTGGCAGGGCTTCTGATCCCATGGGGGATCCACACTGGAGCAGTGTGTTCCTGGGACTGCACCCTGTATGAAGGATGGACTTATGCTGGAGCAGTTTGTGAAGAACTGCAGCCTATGGGAAGGACCTGCATTGAAGACATTTGTGGAGGCCTGTCTCCTGTAGGAGGGACCCCAGGCTGGAGCAGGGATAGAGTGTGAGGGGTCCTCCCCCTAAGGAGGAAGGAGGGCAGAGACAGCATGTGATGAACTGATCCCAAACCCCATTCCCCATCCCTCTGCAGTGCTGGGAGGAGGAGGTAAAGAAAATCGGGAGTGAAGTTGAGCCCAGGAAGGGAGGTGTGGGGGAAGATGTCTTAAGATATAGTTTTTATTTCTCATTATCCTACCCTGATTTGACTGGTAATAAATTAAATCAATTTTCCCAAAGTCAAGTCTGTTTTTCCCATGATGGTAGTTGCTGAGTGATCTCTCCCTGTCCTTAACCCACAAGGCTTTTGTTAGCTTTTCTCTCCCCTGTCCAGCTAAGGGCGGGGGGAGCGATAGAGCAGCTTTGGTGGGCACCTGGTGTCCAACCGGGGTCAACCCACCACACCATCAGAGACAGCTAGGCTGTCCCTTCTGCTGCCTCTGTTTAGAGAAATGAAAATTTGTTGGGTTAGAGAAAGAAAATGAAACTTTACCAGATAGCTGATGGAGAGGACCAGCTTACTGACCTTGTTCACAGGGCAGGCAGGTCCTTCTCACCCAGTATTTAGATCTGACCTGCATTATGGTGGAACAAGGCTGCCTAAGAGAGCACAGACAGAGGCAATGACACGGTTACTACACCTGGCGTATGGAGCTGCTGCTCCCAGCCCACCTGGCCAATAGTCCCTATGGCTCAGGGAAGCTGGAGGGTGCAGCTCCTCCGCGTCTCTGCACGTACAAACAAGCAGCTTGGGGGGAATGGTGGCACGGGAATTACCTCTCTCTGTGCCACTTGCTTTGGGGAAAAGACTTCTGAAGGTAAAGGGCTTTAGAGGAAAGTGTTGGGGATGAGGCAAGGAAGTATAGAGCTGGGGGCAAGAAAAAGAAAGGAAAAAATGGATGGAAGAGAATAAAGTACCAATGGGAAGGGGAACATGAGGAAGCATAAAGAAACCAAGAGGCAGGAAAAGCAAAGACAGTGAGGGTGTTGTAATGCAATACTTAATCAGCTCTCTCACTGTGACTTCCAAAGACAAGATTTTTTTTTCCAAAAAGAATGAAATGTCATTTTCTGGTTTGGGTTTGTTGGTGTCCCCCCCCCCCCGTAAATCTGCATTTTTTCTTTATCTGCATTAAAACATAAGTTCACTCTTTACGGAGTAATTTTGAACCATGTTGGCACAGCCTTCTTTTCTTATATGCCAAAACCTTTGATTTCCAGGCTCCCACACGCGATGATTTGAGGTGCATCAACGGGCAAAAGGTACCTTTAGAAGTGCTCCAGTGTGCTCTGAAACTCCCTTTATCTGACCAGATATACTTTCAAAAATGAGGTTCTTTTACATAAATACTTAGCAATACTTCTAATTGTGCTAACTAAAGGGTATGTATTTATAAATGCATTTCTATTCATGAAGAAGTAGGTGTCAGTTTTCAAAAACAAGTTAACTGCTACTGCAGAAATCTCCATTTTCCTTAGAAATACTTTGTTTTTTTCTGAGACAGGTCTCTGCCCATTACTTCAAAGTTTAAAAAAAAAAAAAGTTACATGTCTAGTGCTCTTGCCATCCAGGCTTCCTCCAAACCACCCTTAGCTTTCTTCTGTCTTTGGCTCTCCCAAGACGCCCACATTCCCCAAGCTCAGATTTTGGATCATCCCTCAACATACACTTCCCACAAAAAGTCACATGCAATCCTGATATGCTCTTGGATTTCCCCCAGAGCTCTAAACCCCTGCAATTTCTGACTCATTAAATCTCTTAGTTGCAGTAGAGCCAGATTTGGTGCCGGCACTATGCTGTCGGTTTGCTTCTTGCCCGTTTCCCCACTCACAGCCCCGGGAAAAGGGGTGCAAAGGCCAGCAGGCATTTTGGCTCCCATTCCTAGCTAAAGGCAGGGCAGCAGCTGCAAGAAGCGCGTGGGGCCTTCGTGGCTGAGTTCCTCTCCATCCTCTCTGTCGCCCTGGTCCCCAGCTAAGCAGGAGCGATGCTGGCCACCGTGCATTGCACTTCAGCTATCCCAACATAGGAGCCATCAGGAGGAGTCGCGCTTCATGTAGCAAGTTCTGCCTCAAAGGGTCACCTCTCTCAGGAGCACACTGCTGTGCTTTTGGCATGTCGCTGAGCTAATCTAAATTAGCAGATTATGTTCTGTGCTTTGGAGGCTGCAGGCAGTGCCAGGCAAGCTGAATCACTGAGAATTTGGCTGGAAGTGTGGGCATTGAAGTAACAGGTGCCGGATTGTTCTGCATTTAAAAGTTCGGGTTTAACCTTTTTTGGTTGCTTTCCCTGGCACTGAATCAGAATCTGAGTTAAGGCCGGAGAGGCGGCGCTAGAAAAACACCTTTGCTTGCGCGGTTTGCTGGAGGCGCAAAAGACCAGTCAAGTGCAGTAGTGGGAAGGGGGGAAAGAGAGAACGAGGAGATCAATCTGTAACTGACTGTGAACAATCAATTGAGATAACCCACTACCTTCGGACCAGCCGGGATTCCACCTGCTGCCACTGCTATATATACCACGCCTGCTCGGGCCCTCCAAGGTTATGGCTAGCTGCCCACCGGCGCCCCTCGTTTTCCCTTGGCGACATATTCGCCTCTCGAACCCCAAGAGCCATGAAAACCCA